CAGGAACTGTGTCACATTGTAATTCTACAATGTCTTGACTTAATGTGGCAGTCATGTATCTGTTTACCTGCCAGCATACCTAAAAGCCAGTTCCTCAATACTTTTGCCTCTAGCATGAGAAAGAAATAAGCCCAAGACAATGCTTAAAGGGATGCAAATTTGGTTCTTAAAGGCTGAGATCACCAGAGGCCGGAAGTAAATTTAATTCCTAATTGCACCTTCTGGTTTTATCCCTTCTAATAGCAGGTTATCAGTCACTCTTGCAGGGAAAAATAACATCCCTTGTCCAGCAAGCAATGCCAGATGTCCCCCATGGGTGGAGGATTTGCATCTCCTGGGGGACCTTGAGTTAAAACAGCTCTCTATGCATAGCTCAGTCTCACCTGTTACAAGACTGGCATTGTGCAAGGCACTCTATACACAACTGAAAACTATCAACATAAATACAATTCTAATGCAAAGCTATTTTCTTCCCCACAATTCTGCATCCTTTTTCCTTTGTCTCAAAGAATGCATATCATACCATGTAATACCCAAGCCCAGCATAATGAGAAAACTGCTGTAGGTATCATTTGAGAGTCTGGTATCGTTAAAGTGCATATTGTACACAGCACCCTTCAAAGCCAGAAACATAATCAACTAGGGAGCAAAGTCCGTTGTGGATGAAGACAACAGGCCCTAGAAAGGTAGGGTGGGTGGGTGGTAGACAGACAGACAGACAGGCAGATAGATAGAGGGGATGGGAGAGAGAGAGAGAGAGAGAGGAAGGATGGAAGGACTGAAGGAAGGAAGAAGGGTGAGGGGGGAGACAGACAGTCAGAAAGACAGACAGGCAGGCAGAGATGGAGGGAGGGAGGATGAAGGGGGGGAAGAAGTCAAAGCGTTGAGGAGGAAGGGAGAAAGAGTGAGAGAGGGAAAGAATGAAGGGAGATACGGAGAAAGGAAGAGAGAGTGAAGAAGGGGTTACGGCGAAAATGTCACCACAGCGGGCGGCTCACCACGGCCGCCCCTTACCTACTCCCCCCGAAAGGCTGTGAAGTGGGGGGTGGAGCGCCCCAAGTCCCGAAGAAGGGCGCGCAGCTTGCCCGGCCACCTGAGCACCTCTCACCCACCACGGTCCCGTCTGTCCCTCCACTGGCTGCCCGCCGCCCGTTCCAGGGCCATGCGGGCCAAGGCGGCAAGGCTCGTCCCTCCCTCCCCCCACCCAGCCAATGGCACGCCAGTTGCCCCAAGTGGTAGCCGACGGGCCAATGGCTGAGGGAGCGCATTTTTTCTCACCACCCCATAGGACGGTGGCCCCACCAAAACTCAATTATATATAAGGAGAGATTGGATTTACTCACATGTATGGACTTTACTACTTTGTCTTCCATCAATACTATAATCATATCTTTCTGTAGCGTCGTTTGTTACACAGCTTGTGGCTGTCATTTGATTCAGACCACTGAAGTAGGCCATTCGGGTCCCATGGTGTAGCCGGGCACTGAGATTGTGGGATCCGTGGCTTCCCGGCTAAGGAAAGCAGAATTTGAACTCAGGTCTGCCCTCCAGGTGTCCTTCTGGACTTGGGTTGGGCACTGAATGGCAGGCCAGAGGCCTACCCAGTCTGAGCCTCCTGTTCTCCCAGAAGAGGTGCTGGTTCAGGGTGAAGGTTGAACAAACATCAGGGTGCACATTAAGGCCCCCCGGGAGGGGGGATGCTGCCTGCTGCCGCCACACAGCTGACGCCTCACCTAATTCCCCTCTCCCTCCCAGACACAGAAGCTGCTCTGCGCCTGATGGAGGAAACCCTCTTCCTGGACCAGAATTTCCGGCACAAGGCAGAGAAGCTGCTTGGGATCTTCCAGAGTGAACTCTTCCAGGCACTTTTGGGTGCGTATGGGCGGAGCCTTGGGAATGGGGGCCAAAGGGGGAGGAGCTGGCACATCTCTATGACATCGAGAGATCAGTAGTAATTCCTGGAGTTCTCCAGGTCCCACCAGGAGGCTGGCGACCCTTGTTTTGAAAGTTTTTTTTAAAAAAAATTATTTTTATTAGGTTTTTATACATTAAGCAACACACACATAAAACAACAACCAACATACATTAATCTGTGTTGTATAGAAAATAAGTGTGGTATACGATATGATGTGGGAAAATGTGCTGTGGATCTTGTCTAAGTGTACAATAAGGGCTTAATCGGTGCAGGGTTTTGAAAGTTTTTAATGTTTGTGGGGTTTTTTTTAATGCAGTTGTGTAATTTTACAGAATTTTAAAACGGGTGTTAGAAGTGAGATTCTGTTTTTGCAATAAGAATGTGCTTAAAATGGGGTCTAGCTATTTCCAAGGCGGGATGTGTGGAGATGTTTCGGATTTATATCCTGCCCTCCGTACAGCCAGGCTCAGAGCGAGTCACAACACTTAAAATGCAAACATAGCAATAAATCCAGATACAAATACAAATTCACACAAAGTTAAAATTCCTAAAAACAACAACAATCGACAGAAATGTCGATTTCCAGTTATCCACGGGCGCCTCCGGTACTGGGCATATGCTGACAGAGAGACAGGGCAGGGGTTTCAGTCAAGAGGGGTGGCCGTGTTAGTCCGTAGCAGCAGAAAAGAGCAAGAGTCCAGCAGCCCCTTAAAGACTAACAAAATTTGTAGAACACAGTTTGAGTCCGGTGACATCTTTAAGACCAACAACATTTTGTGCAAAGTGTAAGCTTTCGTGTGCAAACAGATTTCCTCAGACAAAATGGAATAAAATCTCCTCAATGGCTACTTACAAGGAAAAAAAGAGGGTTGGGGGGCAACCATTAGGAAGGGCCACTCAAAGCCAAGATACGTATACAGAGCTGAAATTGGATCAGGTGTAGTTAATGTTGTTAAGTCCAGTCACCGCTCACTTCTTCAGATACAGCGAGAACATGAGTCCACCTGTCCTTATAATTGGAGAGTAGAGTGATTTCAAATGCTGAATGACCATAGGAAGTGAATGACAATAGCAGGCATGATTGGATTAGGTGTGATACGCAGAGGGTAGCAGGTGTGGATAAATCAGCCTTGGTCATGAGGCAGGAGACCTAGGTCTTGATTCAGACCAGGAGGATGTGTTGTCTTGAGCTTCATTCGTGCATCCTCCTGGACTGAATAGAGGCCTAGGTTTCTTGTCTCATTACCCATGCTGATTTCTCCACACCTGCTGCCCCTCTGCCTATCACATCTAATCCAATCATGCCTGCTGTTGTCATTCAGCAGCTGAAATCACTCAATTATAAGGACAGATGGACTCCCATTCTAGCTGTATCTGAAGAAGTGAGCGGTGACTCACGAAAGCTCCTCCCCTGCTACAAATTTGGTTAGTCTTTAAGGTGCTCCTGGACTCTCACTCTGATCAGTGACTGACAAAAACTCATACCCTGCCACAAATTTTGTCCAGGTGGGTTGCCGCGTTGGTCTGAAGCAACAGAACAAAGTTTGAATCCAGTGGCACCTTTGAGACCAACAGAGTTTAATTCTGGTAATAAGCTTTCGGGTGCATGCACGGCGAAAGCTTAAACCCAGAATTAAACTTTGTTGGTCCCAAAGGTGCCACTGGACTCCAACAAATGTTGTTAGCCTTTAAAGTGCTACTGGCCTAGGGCAGCAATTTGGGAGGGAGGGAGGGAGAGCCTTAAACGACAAAGCATTATGGGAAGTGGGTGGAGCATAATGTTAGGGTTGTGGTTGTGGGAGGAGCTTTGGGGGATTGTGAGAAAAGGCAGGTGGCATCGAAGTTTCCAGCTCTGGTTTGGGAAATCTTTGGAGAGTTTGGGTATGGATCCTGGAGAGGGTAGGATTTGGGGGACAGGAAGGGCCTTACTGGGGTATAATGCTGTATAGTCCACCCTCCAAAGCAGGCATTGTCTCCAGGGGGACTGAGCTCTGTCAGCTGGAGAGCTGTTGTAATTCCAGGAGGTCCCCAGGCACCACCTGGAGATTGGCAACCCTTGACGGCATTAAGGCGATACAGGAAGCCGAGTGGAAGCTGGGTGTCTGTTTACCAGAGGCTTTTACAAACCGCTTTTCAACAATTCTAAAGCCGTTTACAAAATACAAACAAATGATTAAAAATCAGTGAAAACAAAAAAAAAATAGATCCAGTGTGGCCTAGCGGTTAGAGCCTCAGAGTACCATTGAGGAGACCTGGGTTCAGTTCCCCAACTGGGGCCAGTGTTCCCTCTCAGCTGAGTGAGTGTGAGCTAGCTCGCAGTTTTTTAGCCTCCGGCTCACACATTTTCGTCTCCGCTCAGGAAGGATGGGGCTCCAGAGCAGATTAATTAATGCAGGAGCCACATCGCGCGCTCACAACTTGAATGCCAGGAGCTCACAAGGTAGAATATTTGCTCACAGGACTCCGCAGCTTAAAGGGAGCATTGCTGGTGGCTGACCTTAGTCCAGACACGCTCATAGCTGACCTACCTCACAGGGTTGTCGGGAGGATGAACTAGGAGAGGAGAGATCCTCCGTCTCCCCGAGGGGCACAGAAGACAGGGTTTCTGCCCCACTGCGAGGGAGCCTTTACTGGCCTTTCTTCTCGCCCTCCCTTTCTGAGCTGTGCAGTTTGGGCCCTTGGCCAGCTCTGTGGCCTGCTGAGCTGTCCAGATCGGCCCGTCGGCGGCCACTTGGCTGGGCCCCAATCCTTTCTCCCGAGATCCGGAGAGCCCCCTCGTCGCTTACCCGGGCCAGCTTGCTATGCACCTGCATGGGGGGTGGCCCAGGCAGGAAGGGAGGGAGAGAGGGAGGAGTGTGGCTCAGCTCGTGGCAGCTCTAAACATAGCGCTTAATCCTAGTTTCGTAATTACCTCTGAGCTGGGCCCGGGGGCAGCCACCTGCTGACCTCTAAGGCGATTGACGGGAGCTCCACGTGCCGATGCCCGGGGAAGTTTAAGGCCGCACCCCAGGGGGCCCACTTTCTTCAGGCCAAGGGCCCAGATCGGCCTACCCTGCAGGGGGAGGGGGCTCCTCCCAGACCTCTGGTGTAGGGATCAGTGCTCCCTCTAAGCTGCGGAGTCTTGTGAGCAGAAAAATCTACTCTGTGAGCCAGAGGCATTAAAGTTGTGAGCGAGCGATTCGGCTACTGCATACATTAGTTTGCTCTGGAGCCGTCCTCCCTGAGCTAAAGCAAAAAGGTGTGAGCTGGAGGCTAAAAAACTGTGAGCTGGCTCACCCTGACTCAGCTTAGAGCAGGGGTGCCAAACATGCGGCCCAGGGGCCAGATCAGGCCCCCGGAGGGCTTCCATCAGGCCCGCAGTGGAACTGGCCATCTCCTGCTTCCAGTTGTGCTTCGCCAGACTCTTTCACTCGCTCACCCATTTCATGTTTTAACCTGGGTAGACTCAGAACTCTGAGCGTGAGATTTCTGTAGTGAATGCCAGTAATCAAAAGTGGGTTTGCAGCTTACAGAGATGAAACCTGCCTGGCAAGAACTGGGGGGAACTCTCGTCCGGCTGCCAGCTGACTGTCTTGTTTGCCTTTCTGCCCCGGGTCCAGACATCCAGGAGTTCTATGAAGCGACAGTTACGGACGCCCCACCCGTCACCACGTCTTCGCGGAGGGCTCGGCCTAAGGTACGCCCCCTCTTTCTCTCCTTTGGGTTTTTGCTGTGTCTGCTCTGTGTAGCCTTCGCCTTGGAAGATCTGCTGTTTCGATGCCTGGTGGCTCAGCCTGGGGATGGGCGGTTGCCTCTGAGCTCATATAAAGTGCGTTTCTTCCGTCAATGAGAAACTATAACGCATCTCCACGTATCTAGGATGAGCATCCAGGCCTTCAGTGTGTGAACCTGTTTGCTTCTTTGTTAGAAGCTTCTTGCCTAAAAGAGAGGTTCGAGTGTCCAAGTCGAATCTGGGAGACTCCGGGTTCAAATCTCCACGCTGCCATGGAAGCTCGCTGGGTGACGCTGGGCCAGTCACACTCTCTCAGCTTAGCCTACCCCGCAGGGTTGCTGTGAGGATAAATTGGAGAGTAGATCGTTGTCAGCCCCTTTGGGTGCCCACTGGGGAGAAAGGGGGGGGGGATGTGGCATAAATAAATAAGTTAATGTCAATGTGGGGAAACGGATGACAGAGAAATCATGGCAGGCATTTCATAGACTCATAGAGATGGAAGGGACCTCCAGGGTCATCTAGTCCAACCCCCTGCACAAGGCAGGAAATTCACAAATACCTCCCCCTCCACACCTGCAGTGTGACCACTGTTCCACACCCAGAAGATGGCATGGAAAAGCGGCTTCTCAAAATGGCCTCTCTCCTGCAGCCGTTCAGTGGCACAAAGAGGCAGGGGCTGATGTACTACGGGGGGGCACTCTGCTCAGTTCCGGGAGCCTGCTGGGCTTGTCTGGGCACAGGGGCTCGGCTGGGACCGCTCTGGCCATAACACGGACCTTGCTCTGGGTGACAGAACACCCCCCGTAAAACTTCAACCAATTCGTAAGAGACACAAGGAGTTCAGTGTCAGAGACATGGAAACCGGGGCTGCCTCCCACTGGGTCTCCTGCGGAGGATACTGGTGGTCAGTGTTCCCTCTAAGCCGAGTTAGTGTGAGCCAGCTCACAGCTTTTTAGCCTCCGGCTCACACATTTTTGTCTTTGCTCAGGAAGGGATGGGGCTCCAGAGCAAACTGATTCACGCAGTAGCCAAATCGCTCGCTCACCGCTTTAATGCCAGTGGCTCACAAAGTAGAATTTTTGCTCACAAGACTCCGCAGCTGAGAGGGAGCATTGCTGGTGGTGTGGTGCTCCGTCCCTGCTGCTGAGAGGTCCCGGGAGATCCAGAGTGCCGGTCCTGAGCTGTTTGATGCAGCCGCTCAGAGCAATCCATCCTTTGGCCAGCCCTGATTTTATTGCCCCTCTTTGCCCTGCGTCTCTACCCCCCTTGTTACACCAGCCGTGCCTTTCCCCAAACCTCCCATGGCCCCCTCACTTTTTCCTCTCCTCTTTGCTAAGTTTGGTGTTGTGGTTAAGTGTGCGGACTCTAATCTGGG